TGACTGCACTGTTCCCAGTTAATTCAGACCAATAAACAAATACTAAACATAAAATAAACATAAACTGAACGATAACCAAACAAACCTCATACGACTTGAAACGAGACTTAAGTTATGAAAAAATCTAATACAGTTTGAAATAAACATGTGCACAATTCAAATATTTTATATCCATTCACTGCATTTAAATATTTTATATATAGTCTTTTAATTGTAATTGTTTTGTTTTGTGTTTTAAATTCACATATTTAAAGATTGAAATTAAATATTTTAATTAGAATACTCGTATTAGGGTGGAAAATCTTTCTAATTGCCCAAAAGGTCAATACAATCTCAACCTCTCAATATACAGGGTGGGGGTGAACCGATTGAGCAGTTTTGAGGTAAAATAAAAGAGTAATGGAGGTACATAAAGAAGAAAGTTTATTTTCCTAGAGGTTAGCATAACATACCATTTAGAATACTTATGTTTTGAAAACAATATCTGGAAGATAGGGGCCGTTAGCTGCAACACACTGTTGGGAGTCGTTCTCAGAGGAGGGAGTAACCGTAACAGTGAATTCCGATCGCTATGCTGCAATGTTGCAAAATTTCTTGCAGCCCATGATGGTAAACATTGTTTAAAATGAAGCATTGGGAGACGTGTGATTCCAGCAGGATGGGGCTACAGCTCACACAGCCCGAGCCCCGAATGTCGCTCAATGTTTTGAAACGCATGTTCCCAGACTCTGAGGGGTGATTTACAGTGGCCTGCAAGGTCACCTGATATGAGCAATTGTGATTTCTTTCTTTGGGGACATCTAAAAGAGAGGGTATTCAGAAGTCACCCTCACACCCTACCACAGCTAAGGGAATGGATTATTGTAGCAGAGGTTATGGCCATACCTTGCCATTTGTTTGAACCTGTTGTAGGAAACTTCTGAGAACGACTCCAAGTCTCCAACAGTGTGATGCAGCTAACAAACACCATTTTCCTAATATTGTTTTCAAAACATAAGTATCTTAAATGGTATGTTATGCTAATCTCGAGGAAAATAAACTTTCTTCTTTATGTACCTCCATTACTCTTATATTTTGCCTCAAAACTGTTCAATCAGTTCTGCCCCACCCTGAATAAGCTAGCTAACACATTTAAATTGTATATTGTAATCAATATATAACAAATAGTCAAATAGTTAGTCAAAGACTACTTATAGCCTTATAAGAATTAGCTAAGCTGCTAGCTACGTACAATGTATTGCACTCTTGATGCCTCTGTACCAAAAACATTCAATTTATTGGAACCTAATACACACTAAAGGCAGCAAGTTTATATACCAATTTGTCATTCATAGTACATTTATACTAAATCATGAATAACAATACCTCAATATAAATTAAAGACTGCCACTCAATATATTTATATATATATGAAAAAATCAAAAAAATAAAAAAAAATCGAAAAAATAAAAAAAATCATGATTTTTTTATAAAAAAATCAAGTGATTTAATCACATGATTTAATCATTTTGATTTAATCATTGCCAACCCTGTTTGGAAGCCTTGAATGTTCTGCCAGATGAATAATGTCCTACCTGATTTTAAATGCAACAATGTGATTAAGTGGCTACATTACAATTTCACCAGAATATGGTACATTGAACTTGAAGCCATGAGATTTTAGCAAATTGTTGTGCATGTCCAACTCTGTTTACAATTATGATCATCATAAAGTCATGAACAGTCTCTCCTATACTGAACATGGAAGGTACTTATTACAACACTTCTCTTTAACTTCACTTCTTGTTGTTTGTTTGTTTGTCTGCTACAAATCTTGTAATCAAAATTTAATACACTTCTACTTGTCCTATTGATCTGAAATTTTGCATACATGTGTAAAGTTGGAGACAATGCATGAAACAAATGTCAAAATAAATGATTTTAAAAATTACTTTTTCTTTTAATATAAATATTAAAAAAATTGAAAAAATAATTTTGTCAGCTACAAATCTTATAACTGATATTTGACACACTTTTACCTGTCTAATTGATCTGAAATTTTGCACACTTGTATGAAGTCAGAGGCAATGCATGAATCAATTAACAGAATAACTAATTTTGAAAAAAAGTATATATTAAAAAATTTTTAATATATTAAAAAATGAAAAATTTATTTTTTTAAATATTCAAAAATTAAATGAGAAATTCATTGTACATCTGTAAGATTGGAGACACTGGATTCTTTGGAAGTGTTGTCTTTAAAAAGTAATTTTTAAATGTATATTATTTTTTAGATTAACCAGATTCAATCATAGCAGGCAATAGCCAGGCATTGAATACCTATAGCTCCAAGCTGTGACTAAAGCTTTCCCACCATTTTTGGAGCCACAAAAGTCCTGCTTGATTTAACTGTTGATAAGTGGCTGAAGTAGGCAATCAGGCTTTGAGATGAGAGCAGGTTTATTTATATATCATATTAAATTTTTGATTGATTTATATATATTAGATTAACATTATCTCCCACTAGATTTAAATATATTAGGCAGTAATTAGTTTGATGGAATTTGAACTATTTCCAAAATTTTTGCAAATGATAATGAATGCACTTCGAGTAGGTCAAATGATGTTCCATTTAAAAGTGTAATAATTCTTCTCGAAATTTGATGTCTCACACTGCAAACATTAATATCAAGTCTGTAATGACTAACAATTATTGGTTTAATTTTTTTGATGAATTTCATCCTACAACAATTATCTTGATTTTTCAGTACATTCATAAAATTCTTCTGGATGAAAATTTCTTCATCATAAGAAGAACCCATCTCCGTCTGTCATTGGACCAAGCCGGAGACTTTTATAAAGAGCATCAGTTAAAATTCTTTCATAATCGATTGGTTTCTTTCATGTCAAGGTAAGCATTTCTTCTTTAGACATACTGTAAATTTATAAATTTTTCATTTTAAGTATGTAAGATTTACAATGTTATTCATATTAGTAGAAATAGCTTTCAGATAAAATCATTGATCAATTCACTTGTGCAAAACATTTTAACACTCTAGCTCCTGTGATTCCTGACAACTAAGTAGCTTGAATGGATTGTATGTGTAATTTAATGATCAGGGCAACATGCATACACATTTCGAAATTACTTGTTTTATTCTCATAAATTTTGCTAAGTAACTGGTAATATTAATATTCAAAAAGTGATTGAAGTGAAAATTTGAATTTGTTAAGATATTGTTTCTTGATGGATTCTTGAGTACTAAGTGACCATCTTTCATACTGCTCTGCAAATTATGTGTGCTCTGAAATAATATTCAAATTGTTAATAATTTTATGTTGATTCAGTGGACCATTGGAGGCCATGGTTTTGTACCGTGATGATGCAATAGCTCACTGGCGTAAACTCATTGGACCAACTAAAGTGTATCAGACTATCTACTCACACCCCTCATCCATCCGTGGTATCTATGGCCTCACTGATACTCGCAACACTATTCATGGATCAGGTAACTTTCAAAGCCTGGGCAAAGTTTGTCCCTTAGGACAAACTTTTTTAATTGTAACTTACTTTATATTGAATATTAACTTATTTATACTTCTATTGTTATACATATATTATTTTATACAGCTATTCATTGTGTAGGATCCAGTGAGAATACCCCCTATTTACCATTTGTTTAAGACTATTTGTTTCAATTGATTTCATCTTCATGGTTACTTAATCCTTAGTAAAAATTATGTTAGTTCATGGAATGTTTTTTCAAGTAGCTCAACACCACTAAGCGCTACTTGCTTTGTAGCAATACTGTGACAGTACATTGGAAGATTTACCATTCCACAGATTCTCCGGCTACAGCTTTGAAGGAAATAAAGGTCTTTTTCCCAAATTTTAACATAGAAGACTGGAAGCAACATGAGGAACCAAAGCTTATGTCTGGAATGTTCAAATTGGATGAAGAAGCTTTTGTTCACCATCCTTTGTGATAATCAGTTGATGTTGCTCAATTCATGTTGTTTGGTTTTGGCAAATGTTTGATCTTTAGACAGTGGTGTCATCTGCTGATTTGTAAAGATGTCTAATACCTTAGAGTACTCTGTATTATGGTTGGGTATTTCATTAATGGAATACTGTGTGAAATAATTTTTTTTTCACTTCACTTATTGTTCTAGTCAAATTTTACCTTTTTTTGAATTTTTTTACTTGATTAATTCTTGAAGTTGCTGATACTAGCATTCAGTGTCTATTAAATATGTGGATGGTTTATAAGAGAGAGTTTTTTGGAGTAAAATCTTTAATTTATTGTTTGGTTGGAAGATTGTTTTGGTTACTTGAGCTTGGCATAGTGGAGAACTAGCGAGTGCCTCTAATTTTTGTTGCCTTTTTTGCCACTCCTTGAGGAACTTGACAACTTGCAGCAATTTTTCAGTTCAATTTGCATAAACTCTTCCAGTGTTGCATAAAGTATATGTTAAAACATGTTTTTAAAAAATCTTGCTCATAAAAAATTATTGTTTAAGGAACGACTGAAGCAACTGGTTACTGGTGCTTCTGGAACAACCTTGGTTTATTTTTGAAATGAAGAACACAAAGTTAGGAAAGTGAGAAGCTGGTTTTTAATAAATTTTATTCACAAGACAGCTATATGATTAAACACTACAGTTACTGGAATAGATTACGGTCGCATGACGGCAATGTTCAGAGTGTCATATTTATCAAACTTTCATACGCTAATTTAACTGCTTGGGGAACAAATTCCAGAATTGCAAGTCACGTGAAACCATATTAATTTGGCTTTTAATTAGGCTATTATACTGCTACCGATCAGCCATTCGTTGTGTAAATGGACCAGTTCAGTAATTAACTTTGATGAATTTGTAGGTAAATTAAAAATTCTAATGTTGTTTTTAAGATCTCTGAATTAGGCCTGATTTTGAAACTTAATAAAGGTTTCTAATAATTTCCGTATATGCTACAAATGTGTTACCGTATGGGAGTTATGGGTGAACTTTTTGTAAAGAAACATTTTACATTGATTCCTGTTATAACCGGTCAGAAAATGTTGCAATTGAGACCAGTCTAGCATACTACCTATCTTGACCCTCGGCGAGATTGGTGGTAATTTGAACTAATTTTTCTGTTTTTCGTTGTGAATCAGAAGATCATTTTAATTGAATCTGCCAGACAGGCTTCTGGAATTTAAAAAGGTGTAATTTTCGAATCGATAATCACACATTTTTCCATGAGTTTGGCAAAAGAGAGAGCATTATCATTTGAGGTGCTTCATTGCAGTTGATTGTCATTTTAATAACAGAAAACCAGGTAAAGTTGATTTCATTTTGGTTGTTGATTAAAACTAAGTAGTTACTATGCATGAAGTTTTTCAAACCACATGTGTTTAACTTGTATGAAGTCTTGACGACTTTTAAACATGGCTTTTAGAATACCTTATTATTGAAGGTGATTACCGACAAAATGACAAGTACTTCTCAAACGAAGAAGTGAAAAGGACGAGTTTCTAGAGTAATAATATTATTTAAGTAATGATTAAAGTAACTTGTCAAAGCTAGGCTATCGAACACCGAAGAAATGCTAGGAGGGAATTGCACTACGTTGAATAAAGAACAGTTCCTTCACTAACAAACGAACAATGTCATTCAGTTCCCCGGGTGAGCGTTCACTTATGCGCCAGTTATATGCTCATCTTTGCTTGTCAATAAATGGTCAAAAATTACTATGACCAAAAGTCTATTGTTACTTTCTGACCTCTGTGCCTGAAGACGCATTCTACGGTTTATAGTATCTGTAGTTTTTGTTGGGTACTGGGGTTCTGCGAACTTAGTTGAACCAATTGCCGTACATGAAAATTTCAAAAATATCTCTACCGCTTGGCGAGAAGCTACGAGAAATGCACATTTATTACTGGTTTTGAACGTGATGAGAGTTGTCGAACTTAGAATGATTGAGTACGTGGTGACCAGTCAAAGTTGAATTCGCTTGTACGGTCCTCCCTTATATAATCCTCAAGCACAATCCTAACTCATCAACGTTGACTACCTGAAAAGAACTTTACTACCCTAAAATAATCGCAAATTAATTCTACGGACTACTTCACTTGGTGAGAGACTCGATGAGGTAACTGTCAAAGTGCTGAAGGATCCTCAGTACGTGGATATAGGATATTAATTGGATAAGTAGCAATATGAGGCATAGTTATTCGCGACGTAAAGTTAGAGTCCGTATATTGGTTTCTTCTCGATACTGTGATTATTCGTAGTGCTAGTTTTGGCACGAGGAAATCGTTACTAAAGATGTCTCGAATAGGCTGACTAATTGTGAACAAGACCAATGTTTCTACACTTGCGATCGAGATACCAGCGGCAATGGCTCATTTACCCGAGTGTTAGAAGTTTCTTTGGTGCTAAACGCTATTCATTCCGTTAGTCTGCATGGCACGCCTGTCGGGTTTGCGTAGATTTCGCCCTCAACCCTGTGCCACAAACTTCTATGAAGTATCGTTGATCTGGGAAGCTGGCGATTGCAAATTTGAACTTTCGAACGAGTCGTTTGTATTGTTTAACGTGAAACATGACCTGATTAGCTGACAACAATCGTACTTGTAAGTAACTTTTGTGATGAATATGTCCAAGAATTGGTCCAGCGCCTGCCTGATCTGATGGTTGGCTGATGACGGTACGGGGAGTTGAGTTTAGTTGAGGCTGGGCCTGATCATGAGGAACATCGTCTTGGGGAATAGGTCGCTGTTGCGCCAGTTCACCCAGTAGAGGTAGGGGCCGAGCTCTGGGCTGCGAGTCTTGGAGGCTTCTGTGGTTGTCAGGCTGGGCTGATCCAGGCGCTGGTAAAGGCCTGTTGGGTGGGCCTGGTAGCAACCACGGTAGCCGCGGTACCACCAGCCGCCTTGGTTGTTGCGTGCGCAGTGACCGCCTGGTTACAAATTGTCTCGTCACATTAACATTTTTCTCATATATTTACATAAGCAATTAAATGCTATAATTATGAGTTTCGAAAAAAATTGATCTCATATTATATCGTTTATTGCGGATTTTCAATCTAAATAAATGCTTGATATGCTCAGGTAAACGTTCAAAATACAAATATATCATGAGATTTACTCGTTTACTAGCCTATATTATTATTTATCAAAATTCTTAAAGTTGGATAAGGAGTATCACTTGCGCTCAGATAGCGTGTACCTGTGACGCGTGCGCGTCAAGTTCTTATATAATTAAAATGATTACACTTCAGATGATTATATGTTCTTTAAACGTTCCGTACGGTACGATAGAAGTGCAACTTTACTTACTAGACCGGCCTTAACAGATGACCTCACGCCGTACCCATAAAGTTTTTTGCATATGGGAACAGTGCTGGCGGCCACTACAACTATCAAATACTAACTAACCGTGTTATTGTCCTCGTGTATAGACTATACTGGCTCCGAAAGCACCCAGGAACCGTCAAGACGAGGCCAGTAGTATGATTATTAGTTACAGTTAGAATTTCAAAGAGGCACTAGCCGCCTGCACTATCCCCGTGTCCAGGAAATTTGAGGTATCGAAAAATTTAGATAATCGAAAATACTCTTAGCGCAGGATAGACTGGTACAGTTGCCGGACTTATAATTATGAAGGTGTGACGTACCCATGAGCGCGTCGTTATCGTTGTCGACGGTAGAGAACTTCATGCTATTGTGCCACTTGAGAGCGTCGCCGGCAGTGCTGCTGCTGGCGTAGCGCCCGATGGTCAGTACGTACGAACGTTCCTCGCTGCCCACCCTGCGCACAAGGCCATCACTATATATTTCCGAATAATTCACCCTACTAGGTTTATTTATCGAGGCGCTTTCAAATAATTGCTAATGTAGAGCAAATATTGATTGTAAAAAAAAAGCGGTAGCAAACTACTCGCGGGCAACTCACGCAAACTCTTTCCACTGCGCCTGGAACTCCTCGTCCTCCCAGTCCGTGATGTTCACTCTCAGCTCGTGCTTCTTAGCCTCCGTCATCTGGTGCATCGCTTCAAGTCCTGGGCGATACACGAAAATATAGGCTTCACTTTTTGCCAATATTCAAATTCAAGGTAGAATATGTAACTTAAACAATTGCAAAATACGCATATACGAATGTAGTCTAAACAATGAATTTAATTTTAAAATTCAATATAATTAATCAAAACACAAAATTAACTATGTAAATTATTTTTAGTAAGTATTAAACAGAATCAACCCAATGTGGTGAAACAATGGCCCTATGTCTAAACCCGTCAATAAAATATTGTTGAAAAATCTGACGGGCTACGTAGTTCTAATGCCCAAATTCTTTACTTGGGATTAGAAATTTTTCCGTAGTGTCGATTTCAACCAATGTATCTATTGCTATGTCAAAGAAAACTGTCCGCGTGTTTCAAGCTGTTCGCAATGCGGGCACAATTTGAACTTGCCAATGCCAAGTTGCCAACGTGTAATAATCCAGTAGCGCGCAAACCTCTGTAGTGGGAGTTAGATGCTGCTGTCGCTATGTGCATTCCTGCAACGTGTACTATAAATAGTTTTCAATGACACACCATCACTCCCAAACTATTGATAAATTTATACACGAGATCAATTTTGTGTCGCAATGAAGAACTAGTGTTGCACATCATATCAAGATGTAATGTGGTCTAGCTCCTTCGAGTGTTGTCAGTCCCTACGCAATAATAGCCAACACGAACGGCCTGTTCATTGCTGTTTTGATGTAAGTACAAAGTTTCATTCCTTTCCAATTCTTAGTTGTTAGCTAACAAATGTTGCTTTTGTTACCAACAGTTATATTGTTCCGTACTATGTTAATAAGTATTTTACGTCACTTATTAATTCGTCCAGGAAACTTGGTATTTGATGAGCAATGCTTGAATCGCCCAAGTGTATTCCATCCTTGATACCTCATATTGCTGATCTGTCTTGCATTTCGGGAGTCTTTAGTATCGAAGAGCACTAGCATAGTCATCTCTAACATAGGTATTGGTTGATCATTTGCCAGGAAAAATTCGTTTAAAGACTTACTACTTTGGAAATGAAAGGGAAAATATCTTATTATCTTCTGCTGTATGAGAGACAAAAAGAAGTAAAGGCTAAAAAATTGCTTGATAATATATCCCCAGTTTTCCCACCGCATATTTCTTGTACTGAAGGTACGATCGTGCGCTGCATGACTCATTTTTATCTAGTTTAAGACAAATGATAACCTATAAATACCATATTATTCAAAAAGAAATCTTTGTGAAAAAAATTTTTTTAGTTATATTTCAAAGTACGTCACTTAAAAACTAAAGCCCGCAGGTATACACACGGTTTGCTGTTCTTGACGCGCCTTTTCCGCAGCTACAAAATGAGCTCAAAACCAGTTTAATTATCACGAATAATAATTCCTAAACACCGTTTACCTAAATAATCTTTGTACTCATTTTTAAAATCTTCATTTTATATAAATTTGACACTGCTTCACATGAAAACTAAAGCACACACATGCATGCGGTTTGCTGCGTTCGATGCGCCTTTTCCGCAACCATAAAATGAGCTAAAAAACGGAAAAGCCTATTTCTTTCATTTCCAGCCCGGATGACCCCCTTAATAATAGGCGACAGACCAAGATGGCCCAATCAAAGCTGATGCCATTTTATATTCCTATTTGTATCCCAAAATCTGAACTTGTCGTGCGCTGCCAGAATGAGGTTTTGGTGTGAAAGAAATGAAATCGAGGCAGTAATTTTAACTGTATTTTCACCGAAGCCCACTGCTTTGACAACGGAATAATTTTCGTCAAATTGTTCACACTTTCGTCAAATTGATCACTTTCGTCAAATTGTTCACAAAATAGCGATGCAGACCGTAACCTATAGTCATTTCCTGTATAGGTTACAACTTACAACAATGTGAAGTCCACGGAGATTGAAACGAACATTTATTTACCTCCTTGATTATATCGTGTCCAAAATGCCGATCGAAATATTTTAGATTTTTTTTATGATTTCACTGTTACTAGGCACAGTTTTGTGTTGCGTATGCGGGAACGCTTGCAGTCAATCTCTAGCGCCAAATAGACATGATATTGCATTTAACTCACCAGCACATTCATGCCCCAAGACAAAAGTGGATTTTAGATCTCATCACATTTGCTATGGCCGCCTTCACCGCAGCTGCCATGACCGCCTTCTACACAGCTGTGATGGCTGCCTTCACCGCAGCTGTCATGGCCGCCTTCACCGCAGCTGTCATGGCCGCCTTCAACACAGCTGTCATGGCCGCCTTCACCGCAGCTGTCATGGCCGCAAGCTAAGGAAGTTTTCGGATCACTGCCGACGTTTCTTGGCCAAGAAGAGGGCGGCTGCTACTTAACGACGAGCCCCAACAGATCGTCCATCGCCAAATTGTCGTCAGTTATTTTACAACTTCTCCGACTTTCGCTGAAAATTTTGTTAAAATTCTCTACCATGAGTCAGCCTTTTGGTCTCTATTCTGATTACGGCTTTCATCTTCTTGGATAAACATAATATGATCATTTAATTCATGGTCTTCCATTCGGGATTCCATGAAATGTATTTTTCGTTGCGAACAATTTCTGCTGATAATGCAACTTTGCCAACTCAATCAGCAGTGGAATGAATTAGGTTCTTCATTCTTTTCATTGGAATGAGGATGAGTTCTTCAAATCAAATTTTCGTTCTCGGTTGCAACAAATGACAAATTTTTTTATATTGCCTGGACTTTTCCCACCACACTTGAAGACGTGATTTGTAAGCATTTTCTTCCAAGAATTTATTTTTTCTTAATCCAGTCACAGGCAAGTTATCATTCAAAAGTTTTCGACTGCAAAAATCTTCGACTCAATTTAACCACTTTTGATTTCAACGGCTTTAAATTTCACGGCTTATGAAGAGCTTCTCAAGCTTCTTCACACCGGAAATAAACCTTGAGAATCTGGACTAGAGTGACAGGTCGTTAGGACTAAGCAAACACCGATGAGATTTTTCCGTCTCTATCCTTATCTAAGGATAACAGAAAGAGACAGAGCAGAGCACCTGAAGGCTTCTATAAAATGGTGAAAAAGCCTTGTGTGAAAAAGTCAGCGTCATGCGTTGATTCAGAGCGGTGGCAAGGTGTCTAAAATCATACGAGTATATCACCCTCTCGAGGCGAGCAGCTGCGTCGCAATTCGAACATCAATATTCTACGAGATACACGATGCTGATCACTGGACTAGATGTTAACATATCTTTAAACCGCTGTTTCACAGGTGCCTGTGCGAGTTGTTAAAGTATGTAACGATATAAAAACGCAAATTATTTAACATTTTTTCAATATTAAAATTACTCAGAAGAGGCGTTTTACATTTTGGCGTGGTCAACTTTGAATCTTTTTACAATGGAAAAATTTCTATTTTATGTTTAGTCAGCGTTGGAATGTGGAGGTCCGCATTTATATCTTTAAATGCTCTGTTTCTGCGCGTGGCAGCTTTTTGCTACATCTTACCCCTATGCCTCACGTATGTTATTTTTGTTCATATTTTATTTCGAAACCTATTTATACAAATTTTCTTATACAACTCTGTTATTAGGGTCAATACAACAAAATGACTTCATCACATATAATCGATGATAAAAACCTTGTATTCTCAACAACCTTTTAGTTCTAATCAATACTCCTGCATCCTGCTCAACTATTTCAAACCTTCTCACATCGCAGAACGGGAAGCACCGCTAAACAATTTCCTATTTTTATCGCATTTTCTCATTTATGAAAAAATGCACTATTGTGCTCGCCATGTTCGTCTGTCCGTCCGTCTGTCCATCCGTCTGTCCGTCCGTGACTTTATGGTTTTGTCGACGAGAAAATGCGCTTTCTGTCACTCACTGCAGTGAGTACTGAGTTACATTTTTTCTTTCATCACGTGCTTTGCTTTATTCTGTTTCCCGAGTACACATTCGTACCATTTCTTTGTATTAGTTATCGTGGATCTCGGAATTGAACAAAAAAATGCCAGTTTTTTCTCATGCTACTGTTTTTATGGTGAAAAAAACCACGTGCTCTCAAAGCACAAAGTTTTTCACTGAATCATGTTATTTATGTTTTTATGAATTATGTCATACATACGTTTTTCACTTAATTATGTTTTTCAGCAATTGCGAGTTGAACGGTTCAATAGGGTTTCCTAAATGACAGACCCAATTTATTAAATCCTTATTTATTCAAGTATAAATTAAAAATGAATAATTTTTACATAAATAGGGAGAGAAAGATTCAAAATCCTTTTTACATTCTTATAAATATTTGACATGTCCCCCTTGTGCTGAACGGCAAACATCTAAACGGCAGCCAAACTCGTCCCACACACGAGAAAGCACATCTTCTGATACCGAGTGCACCGTAGCAGTGGTACGGTTCTTCAGATCAACCAGTTGCTGGTAGGGGCGGGACGTAAACAGAGTTGCAGGTAGAGGCAGGACGTAAACACCTAACGTAAACAGAGTTGCTGGTAGAGGCGGGACGTAAACAGAGTTGCTGGTAGAGGCGGGACGTAAACAGCTTCCTTGACGTAACCCCACAAGAAATAGTCACATGGGATCAGGTGATCTCGGTGGCCAGAAGTGTAGAGCCAGATCTTCATTTCCTATGCGTCCTACCCAACGCTCAGGACGTGACTGATTCAAAAAGTTTCAGATTTGAAGATGCAAATGGAGGACATATTGAAAATAGGTAAATAGTTAAAAAAAAACTTTAATTTTTTCTTCCTACTGGTGTATATATTATTCATTCTGAATTTATATATAAATAAATAGTAATTTATTAAATTGGGTTCATCATTTGGAATAAACCTAAACATGTTTTACAGCAAATGTGAGTTTAACGGTTATATTATAAAAATTATGAAAAGTTCGATAATTATATCATTATCAGTAATGTTTTATTCATGTGCTATCATCTCCAAGTCAATAGGTATTGTAAAATCAAATCAGAGTCTGGTTGACATTTTCCAAGGACGGCTGTGATGGTAATTTTACTTTATTTTGTGTGCGTACTATAGAGGGAATGCAGCTCTCTCCAGAGGCCCATCATACCACCTTGAAATTAAAATCTAAAAATTAATTGCACAATCCTTCAGCGGCACAATATACCGCAATATCCGTATTGGTTATCTGCATAATCGTCGCATTGGCCCATTATTATTGTCGGGAATACAGCGCCACAATTGGCCAGAATAATTTCCGTGCCGTGTTCTTCCACTGGCCGGTGTTGTAGCTGCCGTAGTCGTGTAACAGAATCCAGAGATACGCGTCCAATTAACGAGGCTGTGATGGCACTGATTAGTGAGCGACGCTAGCGAGCGAGCTGAAATATTACTATGGTGGGCGGGATGCATTTAAATGCGATCCAAGGCTGATATTGAGGTATGAAACGTTTTGAGTGCTTGAATAATGCAGCTGGAAGGCTCAATATATTGATACAAAACTGATAAAGTGATACAGATACTGTGCTGGGACGAATGCCTGAAAATGCAACTGAGTAGCGACAAATTCTTCGTCCATGATAGCCAAATAATGGATTCGAAGTGTGGAAATAATGCTTATATAAATGTGAGCAAGTCACGACGAGAATTTAAAATTTTGATGTTTGACTGAAAAAATGCTAACGTGGGTTTTTAGAGTGACGTATGCAGGCATTAATTCGAGTGCACAAGGAAAATGTAGCTGGGAATTAAAATAATCTGATTACTTTTGACTTCAAGCCAACTTTCCCGGAGATTATATAGAGTGTATTTGATATAGCTGCAGCATTGTTTCTTAATTTCGGACGTGTAATGGACGTGTAAGATCTGCATTATGGACTAAATTTTGGGAAAGTTATTTTTAAAAACAATTCAAAGGAAATTTTAATATTTGGACAAGTTTGTTGCCATAAATTGTCCTCGGAAAGTGCTCCTTAATTTTTACCTTTCGTTAGAAACATCCCTGGACAGCTGCCAGCTACTGCAAGGTATCTCGATCGAACGTCCAACAATTTATATCGAAACTCTGCTTGAGAGCTTTTCCAGATAGTCACTAATGGAACTAGAGTGATGCAACTGATGCTGCAGTAGTTTGTTCCAACACTTCCACTGCTATAGTTTGTTGACGTTTTCTCTAGGATGCTACTACTTACTGCTAAAGTTGACTGCCTCACTTCGACGCGATGATGCTACTCCTTCATTCTAGTTTGCTGTCCCTCTTACGACGATGCTGCAGTACAGTACTAAGAGTTTACTTTCGCCCATATACAGAGATGCTA